GTCCGCTAAGAGTACGACGTGGCAGCGCTAGCCATCCTTTACATCAAGCATTTCTTGAAAGTGGGAAACAGCATCCTATTGGAACCACAGAGGATGTGAATGGATTCAAACAAGAAGGCTTAGGGAACTTTGATTTGACGATACACAATGGAGTGAGGTTAGTGACGAATTTGCATTTTATACGTGAACTTTCTCATATTGGTTTGTTCGGCTTCCGAAGCATTTCATTTATGACACTCTTATCATCTTCTATGCTTAAGTATTTCAGTAATAAATGATATACCTTCTTGTTTGTTTTTTCAGGTGTAGCGCATCGAGAGCCTACATACATCCAGTACTTTCTCGCCCAAATTTCCACACCTCCACTGGAATCACCTGTACACGTATCTTATTCGACGGCAGACGCGCTATAGGCGTTGAATTTATTAGGTACTTGGAAATTAGACGTTCATATCAGATAAGCTAGAATCATTCTAGGAAGATGAATTTCTATGGCACGGAAAATATCGACTCGTATAGCCGTGAGAAAATTTACTGCGAGGGCGATGTCATATTATGCGGAGGTGAATTCTATCCGAAGCTTCAGTTTGCTTTTCCTGAGCTCACTTGTTTGAAGGTGCAATTAACTCACCGCAGTTGCTGATGCTGAGTGGTATCGGTCCAGCGGATCACCTTAGAGCGCACGAAATTCCTGTCACGGTTAACTTGACCGGGTGTTGGTGAAAATTTGATAGTGAGTTGTAGTGGATTTACCGATTTCATTATAACGAATTAGATCCGAATTCATACCTTTTTTCATTCTAAATGTTTAAAAGGCTTAGGTAAGAAACTTGGAACTTCCAATTTCTAATTTTTGCTCATTTTAGGATCACCTAGAGATATATGTACAACAGAAGTGTACCAAACCAATAACCTTATATAACAAAAGCTCTTGGAAATTTCCTCATCATATGATTAAAACTGGCGTGGGTGAGTAATAAATTTGTTCCATCTAGATTGTTTTGTTTTGAAGCAAACTTTAGAAAGCTTTTCTTTCAGAGTGGTTTGCACTGCGTAAAGGCCTTGGAGCTTCGAGTCATCTTGAAACAGGTGGATTCGCGAGGTCTAGTGATGAAGTTGAACATCCTGACATACAGTTTCATTTTTTGCCATCCACCGTTCATAATGATGGCAGGACAGTAGGGACATGTCATGCTTATCAGGTGAAAGCAATCTCGTATAGTTGACTTTCAAAAAAGATTTTCACTCAAAG